AAATGCAGGAGTCAACAAAACTGACAAAAATAAATAAATATAGAAGTAATAACAGAAAATTTCCCAAGCATGACAACAGAATCTGATATGCAGATAAGAGAGGCATGTAGAACTTCAACTGGCCATATCTAAAATAATTGACACCCAGATATATAATGATCAAGATCCTAGAAATTCAGCACAAGAACAGAATATTAAAATTCTTAGAGAAAAGAAACATCACATATAAGGAAATTCCATTAAAATCATGGCAGAATTCTCAACACAAACCTATAAGCTAAGAAGAACACAGAGTGAAGTCTTTAAAGTCCTGAAAGAAAACAACTTCCAAACCTAGATTGATTTACTCTGAAACTATCTTTCAAACTTAGTAGAGAAATAAGATATTTCCATGACAAAAACTAAAGAACTTTTGTGACTAAAAAACCAACACTACAAAGGGCATTTAGATAGAGCTCAAAATGACCACAATTCCAAGAACAACATCATAAGAAACCACCAAGCCACAAAAACATGATCATCTAAATAGACACAGAAAAATATTTTGATAGTGTCCAAAACTCATTCATGAAAAAACCCTACAGGAAATTGGAAAGATGATTTTTATTCCAATCTGATAAAAGCCATCTATGACAAACCAATAACCAGCATCATACTGAATGGACAAATCTGAGGGTTTTCAATATGAAATCAAGAACAAGACAAAGATGTCCACTGTCACCACTTCTATTCAATATAATTTTGAAAACATTTCTCAGCAATTAGACAAGAGAGGGAAATAAAAGGAATAAGGATAGGAAAGGAAAGATTTAAACTATCACTATTTGCAGACGACATGACACTCTACATAAAATACCCCCCAAAACTCCATCAAAAGACTTATAGAATTAATAACTAAATTGAGGAGTGTAGTTGGATACAAAGTCAGTATTCAAAAATCAATAGCATTGCTATACACAAACAACAAACTCACTGAGAGAGAAATAAGGAAAACTACACCCTTCACAGTAGCATCGAAAAACATAAAATTCTTAGGAATCAATCTAGATGTTTTTAGTGGAGTTTTGGGGGTGTTATATAACAGAGAATGTTAGAAACCAGAAACATATCCTTAAACCAACATTGTGATAACGGCCATACTCCCAAAGCTGTTATACAGATTTAATGCAGTACCAATCAAAATACCATTAGTATACTTCTCAGATCTAGAGAAAACATTCCAAATATTCACTTGAAAACAGAGGACACCTAGAATGCAAAGGCAATCCTTGGCACAAATTCAGTAGCATAGCTGGATACAAAGTCAACATTCAAAATCAATAGCCTTCCTGTACAGGAATAACAAACTCACTGAGACAGAAATTAGGAAAACAACACTTTTCACAATAGTTTCCTCCCCCCAAAAATGAAATACCTAAAGTCAGTCTAACAAAGGATGTATAAGACCTCTACACTGAAAACTACAGTACTCTGAAAGATGAGATTTAAGTGAATAAACGAGAAGGCTATCCCTTGCTCTTGGATAGGAAGAGCCAAAGTAGTGAAAATGAACATACTTCCAAAACTGTTATACATATTCAATGCAGTTCGGATCAAAATTCCAATAGCATATCTCACATAATTAGAGAAAACAGTTCTAAAATTCATTTGGAACCAGAAGAGACCCAGAATAGCAAAGGCAATTCTGGGCAACAAAGGCAGGGCAGGAGGCATCACAATCACTGACTTAAAATTGTACTGCAGAGTTACTGTGATAAAAACAGCATGGTACTGGGGAAAAAAAGCCTGACTTCAACATCAACAGAAAGACTAGAAGATATAGACACAAATAGAAAGTACATAGTCACTTTTTTTTGGTACCAGAGATTGAACTCATAACCTTGCATTTGCCAGGCAGTCACTTACAACACTGAGCTAAATTCCTGGAAACATACTTACCTTCGACAAAGAAGACGAGCTTGCTCACCCATAAAAAAAATACTCTTTAATAAATGGTACTAGAAAAATTGGCTTCCCACATGCCAAAGACTAAAACTAGACCCATGTCTATCACTGTGCACTAACCTACAGTTAAAATGGATTAAAAATATAAATATTAAAACAGACACTAAATCTATTGGAAGGGAGAGTAGTAAAAACTCTTGAAGACATAGGGGTAGGCCGAGAGTTCATGAATGCAAACTAAATTGCATAGGAAGTACGTCAAAGAATCAGAAACTGGGATTGCATCTTATTAAAAGTTTTGCACATCAAAAGAAATTGCCAAAAGAGTGAAAAGAAAACCCACAGAATGGGAAAAATTTTAGCCAACTCTCCCTCAAAGCACTTCTATCTAGAACATATAAATAATTGAAAGCAACAGGTCTCCCAAATTCAAAGACTCAACCCGAAAACGGGCATCTAAAATGAATACAAACTTCTCAGATGAAGAAATACAAATGGCAAAAAATGTTCAACATCACTGATCACTCAAGAAATGCAAATTAAAACAACCCCCAGTTTCCATCTCACCACAGAAAGAATGGTTGTCATCAAGAAATCAACCAATAACAAGTGCTGACAGGGCTACAGGAAAAAGAAACACTTCTCCACTGTTGGTGGGAGTGCAGCCTGGTACAACTACTGTGGAAATCAGTGTGGGGATTCCAAAAAAGTAGGTTTGGAGGTCACATTCAATCCACCTATTTTTCTTCTGGGTATTTTCCTAGAAGAATCAAAAACATCATACCACAGTGATATATCTGTATCAGATTTATAGCAGCACAATTTATAATACCTAATTTCCTACTGTCTTGTTTTGAAATTCTGTATCATTTTTATTGTTTTAGTTCTTTAAAATAAAATAATTATAGTAATATAAAGAAATGCAAAAAATAAAATCAAATAAAACCCAGTGCTACCAAAACTTCAACATGAATATGATATTTCATATGGTGGATCTCAGATATAATAGACTATTTCAGTTAAATAACTTTGAGATAATTGTACATTGTTCTGGCTTCAACTATAAATGTGAACATATGATAATTTTCTTGTATGTCTGTCATTTTTAGAACTAAAAGATGTGTCATATTTCCAGGTCACTTTTTAAATTTTTTTTAATTCTTTCTTTTTGTTGGGTTGTTAAATTTTATGCATATGTTTCTTGTCAGTCAGACACTAGGAGTCTTTATTTCTCCATTGGATCACTTCGTGGTTCCCTTGAAAAATGTTTCAAGCATTTTTGTTATCCCACTTGAAAGTGAGGAAGCTTAGATCATCATATTAGGTTCTACTTTTGTTTCTAGAAGTTAGGGCCTCAGTGATTTTATGCACTTGCTTTACCACTGAGCCGTACCCTAACCCCTGCTTTTTGATTTTGGCTCCTGCTTCTCCCTACCCATTTGTTAGGGGCCTGTGAAGTTCTACATCTGCTACTCTATTTTTTTTCTCAATCAACACTCAAACCCATAGTATCAAGCAGAGCAATAGGTTCATTCCATCAACTGGTGAGGGTAAAATTTAGTCTTCCTCTCTGTGCATTTTACACCTTGAGTTACCTTGAAGAGCACTGAGCTTGTTTGCAGTCTGTTTCAAAATATTGTGACATTATTACAGTCACCAATTTCTATTTCTAATATCATCCTAGCTCAGTGACCTGGCCATAAACTCTAAATCCTAGACAAAGCTCTTACATCTAGAGATTAGTTCCTGCCTGCCTTTCCCTCTGAAGAGTTGAAACCTGTCCTGTAGCTACTTGACATATTCAGTCATCAGGGGACCAACTGCATTACACCATGCTTCTCCTTGGCCTCTCTTGCAAATCTCCATAAAGTACACTCAGCATCTTTATGTATTGCAAATAAAATGTTATTGTAACAAAGCCCGATTTAAAGACAACCTTGAACACTGTATACTGGGCCACTAATTACTCATCGCAGCCATAGTTTATAGTGGACCCCATTAAATCTATTTGACTTTCAGTCCATTCTCAAAAGTGCTCAGCCTCTTCAACAATATCCAGCCTAATTCTGAGATCCTGTAACACTTTATTCTTAAGCCTTTCAGAAACATAGAGATGAGATGCAACCTCTAGTTTTAAAATTAGACATGATATATCTTGAACAATAAATAAAATCACTTACAATGCATGGTTCCAAATCTTGCTACTTTAGACTGTGCTTATGGAGAAGCTTTAGCATATGTGGTATGAATGCTTTCAGTGGAAGATACAAGTATGATTCTGCATAATAAAAAGCTGAGAAAACTGTATTTTGAGGTTCTCTTGGTTTTGGGGATAATTACTGAAAACTCTTAAAACTGCATTTTTTCTGTCTTGACTGCGAATGGAAAATATAATGATTGTAACATGATGGGGGATATAGAAATAATTCAGATGGAAAATATAAAGGTATTTCATACCCACAGTGTAAAAAGAAACCAGAAAAATCTGATGTGTTATTAGAGGAGCTATATACTTAAGAAATGAAAGTTATGGATAAAGTCAGAGAAATATTATATAAGTAATAGAGAAAGCAAATCATATCACTGATCGATAGCCATCAGTATCCACCATATGTGCTCTTTTCCCTGCTATGTCTGATTTATATTTATTTATTTCAACTAACTTTCCTTTGCTTGAAAAATTTATACTGCACATGGCAGGCAAAACTTTTCAGTTTAGTCCATAGATTACAGAAAATGGGCAGATGATCATGAAACAACCAGAGGAAGATGAGGCATCTCCCAAACACTGTGTCCTAAATAGTGGTTGTGTTCATCAAATGATAAGCATCCAGACATCCTCATTTTGAAAAGGATGTAATTTGATATGGTTTTTAAGGGCTGTTTTTAGTATGATAGGCAGGAACCAATATTTATAAATAAAACTATGTATGAAAGATAGCCAAAGGGGTAAACAACACCAAAAAATTGCATACTTTTCGACAATACATAGTCAAACCTAATTTTTATATTTCAGAAACTCTCCACTGTAAATCTTTTCAGGTTGGAAGGCCTACCTCAAGACCTGGTACTCGCAGACTGCTGGAGTCCCCCCAGGCTTCCAGGTGCAGTGAAGGGGAGAGGTGGGTTTGAGGCTTCCACATCAGCCTCCCATTCCGGTTACACTTGGAGAACTGCTGAGCTCCCGACGGGTGGGCCGGCCCACACTATCAGCCTAGCCCAGCCTGTTTAGCTGCCGTGCCTGGCCATTGGTGTGCAGAGGAGGAGCTGGGCAGATCTGGGGTGCCCTCACCGGCCTCTCTGCGTGTCTGGAGGACTCTGGATATCTGCGCCCAGACTGTTGGAGTCCCCCCAGGCTTCCAGGTGCAGTGAAGGGGAGAGGTGGGTTTGAGGCTTCCACATCAGCCTCCCCATTCCGGTTACACTTGGAGAACTGCTGAGCTCCCAACGGGTGGGCAGGCCCACACTATCACCCTAGCCCAGCCTGTTTAGCTGCCGCGCCTGGCCATTGGTGTGCAGAGGAGGAGCTGGGCAGATCTGGGGTGCCCTCACCGGCCTCTCTGCGTGTCTGGAGGACTCTGGATATCTGCGCCCAGACTGTTGGAGTCCCCCCAGGCTTCCAGGTGCAGTGAAGGGGAGAGGTGGGTTTGAGGCTTCCACATCAGCCTCCCCATTCCGGTTACACTTGGAGAACTGCTGAGCTCCCAACGGGTGGGCAGGCCCACACTATCAGCCTAGCCCAGCCTGTTTAGCTGCCGCGCCTGGCCATTGGTGTGCAGAGGAGGAGCTGGGCAGATCTGGGGTGCCCTCACCAGCCTCTCTGCGTGTCTGGAGGACTCTGGATATCTGCGCCCAGACTGTTGGAGTCCCCCCAGGCTTCCAGGTGCAGTGAAGGGGAGAGGTGGGTTTGAGGCTTCCACATCAGCCTCCCCATTCCGGTTACACTTGGAGAACTGCTGAGCTCCCAACGGGTGGGCGGGCCCACACTATCAGCCTAGCCCAGCCTGTTTTGCGGCCACGCCTAGCCATCAGTGTACAGAGGAGGAGCTGGGCGGATCTGGGGTGCCTGCATTGGCCTCTCCGTGTGTCTGGAGGACTGTGGATATCTCTGCAAGCAGGGAGGGTCCACAGGTTCCCGAGGCACCATGGCCTGTGGTGAGTCCCCTAACCCGGCTGCGATTGAAGAACTGTGGAGCTTCCAAGGGGCAGGTGGGCGCACAGTGTCCCTGAGACCCAGCTTGTCTGGAACTGCGGAGTTCTGAGCAGGCAGAGGAGGGCCACTAGTTCTGTAGGCCCAATGGCTTAGGGTAGCTCGGTGCCAGAGTCTCAGTAGCTCCAAACATAGAAGGGGATTTTCAACAGATCCTGAGGAAGCTTTCAAATAACACTTGAAACACAGAAATATAGGAAAAATGACAAAACGAAAGACCAAATTACAACCTCAAACCACCAGCCCATCTCAAGAAACCCTAGGAGCAATGTATATAGAAGAAAATATATCCCATCCACCTCATATATCGGACACAATAGCTACTGAAATTGACAAGCAACTCCAGGAAGCTTTAAAGAAATTCAAACTCGAAATAATCTCCCAGATAAAAGAAGAAATGATAAAAGAAATGAAAGAGATTCTAAATATATCTAAAGAAAACACAGATAAAAAATTGGAGGAACTAAACAAAAAGATAGAATCCCTAGACGAGCAATATAAGAAACAAACAGAATACGTAATACAGATGCACAGAGATATACAGGAAATAAAAAACTCCACTGAAAGTTGTAAAAACCACCTTAATGAAAGTGAAGATAGAATTTCAGACCTTGAAGACAGGATTGCAGCTAGTGAACAGGAAAGGAAAGATCTTTTGAAAATAACAAGGAATCAGGAAACAACAATTCAACAACTGCAAGACAATGCAAAGAAGAATAACATAAGAATGATAGGGATTAATGAAAGAGAGGGAGACAACATGAAGGATGTCAGGAGGATATTTAGAGAAGTAATAGCTGAAAATTTCCCAAGCATGAGATCAGAAACTGACATCAGGATCAGTGAAGCATATAGAACTCCAAACAGTCACAACCAAAATAAAACTACACCCAGACATATAATAATCACCATCCCAGAAATCCAACACAAGAATAGATTATTAAAAGCTGTCAGAGAGAAAAGACAGATCACTTATAAAGGAAAACCTATCAGAATTACAGCAGACTTCTCAGCACAAACGATAAAGTCAAGAAGAGCATGGAGTGAAGTATTCCAGATCCTAAAGCAAAATGATTTCCAACCAAGACTGATATATCCTGCAAAACTATCATTCAAAATAGATGGTGCAATATGATACTTCCATGACTAAGAACAGCTGAAGAACTTCATGAACACCAAACCAACCCTACAAAAAATATTGAAAGACAGTTTAGATACACAAAGGAAAAAACCACTAAGCAAAGCAAATAATTAAACAGAACAGAAAGATAAAGATGCAACAGCAGAGAGATAACATTCCTACAATTAACCAGCATTTAACAGTAATAACCATTAATGTAAATGGTCTCAATGCACCAATCAAAAGAAACAGGCTAGCAGAATGGATCAAGAAACAAAATCCAACCATATGCTGTTTACAGGAAACCCATCTAACCCAGAAGGATACTCACAGACTGAAAGTCAAAGGATGGAAAACAAGTCTTCATGCAGCAGGAATCCAAAAAAAGGCAGGAGTAGCCATTCTGTTTGCAGACAACGTGAACTTTAAACCAACAATGACCATAAAGGACAAAGAAGGTCACTACATACTCGTAAGGGGAAAACTCCAAGAGGAAGAGATAACTATCTTAAATATATACGCACCAAACTCTAGAGCACCCAGTTATATAAAACAATTATTAACAGAAATGAAAACTCAAATTATCAGTAACACAATTGTAACAGGAGACCTTAATACACCATTGACACCAAGGGACAGATCAACCAGACAGAAAATGGGCAAAGAAATAACAGAACTGAATCATACCTGTGAACAAATGGGTTTGACAGACATATACAGAATGTTTCACCCAACAACATCAGAATACACATTCTTCTCAGCAGTACATGGATCATTTTCTAAAATAGACCATATATTAGCTCACAGAACATATTTAAGCAAATGCAAAAGAGTTGAAATCATCCCTTGCATGTTATCAGATCATAGTGCTCTGAAATTAGAAATTAATGATAAAAGATACTGCAAAAATTCCGCAAACACATGGAAACTGAATAACACACTCTTGAGTAATCAGTGGGTCACAGAAGAAATTAAAGAAGAATTTAAACAATACCTAAAAGAAAATGAAAATGCAGATACAACTTACCGGAATCTGTGGGATGCAATGAAAGCCGTCCTGAGAGGAAAATTTAATGCACTGAGTTCCCACATCAGGAAAACAGAACGAATACAAATAAATAACTTGATGCTACACCTCAAACAGCTAGAAAAAGAAGAGCAAGTCAAGCCCAAAGCCAAAAGAAGAGAGGAAATTATAAAAATCAGAGCAGAAATCAATGCAATAGAGACTAAGAAAACAATCCAAAGAATCAACGAATCAAAGAGTTGGTTCTTTGAAAGAATAAATAAAATCGATAAGCCCCTAGCCAACCTTATTAAAAAAAAGGGAAGAAAAAGCTCAAATTCATGCAATAAGAAATGAAAAAGGAGAAATCACTACAGACCCAATAGAAATACAGAGGATCATCAACACCTATTTCGAAAACCTCTACTCTCAAAAGTTTGATAACACAGAAGAAATAGACAGATTCTTAGAAGCATATGAAGTACCAAAGCTAGATCAAGAGGATGTAAAACTATTGAATAACCCAATCTCTGTTACTGAAATTGAAAATGTAATTAAGTCCTTACCCACCAAGAAGAGCCCAGGCCCAGATGGATTCACTGCAGAATTCTACAAGAAATACAAAGAAGACCTAATGCCGACACTCCTCAAACTATTCAATGAAATTGAAAGGGAAGCAATCCTTCCTAAGTCATTCCTGGAAGCAAATATTACTCTAGTACCAAAACCTGAGAAAGACCCAACTATAAAAGAGAACTATAGACCAATCTCCCTAATGAACACAAATGCAAAAATCCTCAATAAAATATTGGCAAATAGGATCCAGCAAATCATCAAGAAGATTATACACCATGACCAAGTGGGATTCATCTCAGGAATGCAAGGATGGTTCAACATACGCAAATCAATAAATGTAATCCACCATATCAATAAAGCCAAAAATAAGAATCACATGATCATTTCTATAGATGCAGAAAAAGCCTTCGATAAGGTCCAACACTTATTCATGATAAGAACTTTACAGAAAATTGGAGTAAATGGTCTTTACCTCAATATAATAAAGGCCATTTATGACAAACCAACAGCCAGCATCATACTAAATGGCCAAAAATTGAAAGCCTTTACTTTAAAATCGGGCACAAGACAAGGATGTCCTTTATCACCACTCCTATTTAATATAGTACTGGAAGTACTAGCCAGAGCAATTAGGCAAGAAAGAGAAATAAAAGGGGTAAAGATAGGAAAAGAAGAAGTTAAATTATCATTGTTTGCAGATGACATGATACTCTACATAGAAGACCCCCTAAACTCCATTGAAAGACTCTTAGATACAATAAATAAATTCAGTAATGTGGCTGGATACAAAATCAATACTCAGAAATCAATAGCATTCCTATACACGAACAACAAAATTACAGAGAGGGAAATAAGAGAAACTGGACTATTCACATTAGCAAGCAAAAAAATAAAATATTTAGGAATTACTCTTACAAAAGAAGTGAAAGACTTATACAGTGAAAATTATAATACACTGAAAAAGGAAATTGAAGATGATCTCAGAAAATGGAAAGACATCCCTTGCTCATGGATAGGAAGAACAAACATTGTGAAAATGGTCATTCTCCCAAAACTGTTATACAGATTCAATGCAATCCCAATAGAAATACCATCAACATACCTTATAGATCTAGAGAAATCACTCCTAAATTTCATCTGGAACCAGAAGAGACCTAGAATCGCAAAGGCAATTCTAAGCAGCAAAGACAAAGCAGGAGGCATCACAATCCCTGACTTGAAGTTATACTGCAAAGCAACAGTAGTAAAATCAACATGGTATTGGAATCAAAACAGAGCTGAAGATCAGTGGAATAGATTAGAAGATACAACCACAACTACAAACACACTCAACCAACCTTATCTTTGATAAAGGAGCCAAGCAGGTTCACTGGAAGAATGACAGTCTCTTTAATAAATGGTGCTGGAAAAACTGGCTCTCCATTTGCCGAAAACTAAAGCTAGACCCATGTCTATCACCATGTACTAA